CAAATAAATTCAAACTTCCCACTCAGTGCCTTCTTATTCATTTAATATGAGTATGAGAGTGCTGAAACATGAGTGAGATTATTTCTAATGTGCTCTGCCTCCATTGATCTGATCTGTGTGTGTGTGTGTGTGTGTTAACTTTCCAGTCCAGACTCTCCTGTCTGCTTTCTATCAGGATGTTGTGTTGTGTCAGTGGGTTCTTGGCTGTGAACTGTTCTTCTATCATGTTTTTGGGTTGGAAAAAAACATCAAATCTTGGTTAAAGTTTAACAAACGTTTTAAAAGTATGTTATATATTTGTATTAAACAGTTTGGCTGCTTTGGAGATGTTCTGATTTCTGTATTATTCATATTAACGGTATGTCTAAACCACCTAACAGATTTTGAAGTCATCTCTGCCAAAGGACGCAAAAATACTTTCTCTTTTTATAGTTTTTTTTTTTTTTTTTTTTGTAAGAAAATGGAGATTATGACAATAACACCTTTAGAAAATAATCAAATAATTAGAAAGCGTCCCTTTCCTTTATTTTGACCTCACATATTAAGAAGAGCATCAATCCACTGAAAAACGTTGAAATGACTAATGTTTTTATGACTTCACAAAGCTCTGTATTTATAAATTAATCATAAAATAATACAGTTAAAATTTTCAATTAATCTACACTAAACAACAGTGTTCATTAAAGATTTCAAATAGATAGAATCAATGCTACTTTAACAAGCAGCTCACATTGATTACATTCTGGAAGTTTATACTTATTTTTCCTTGATTTGGTTTGATCATTAAGCAGCAGGTTAAATCCTGGGAAAAATGGTATTCCCTGGTCAATAGTGTGATTGGAGCCAGCACTGATGCTTGTACAGAAAGTTCGGAGCAGACTTTAAATTCTAAGGAGACTTAGATGGCTGGGATTGTACAGGGCATTCTTAAAAACATTTTTTTTAACTCTCGGGGTCTCAGTAATCAGCCATTTTCTATGCTCAATATGTTGGAAACGCAGCTTATGTACAGCTGTGAGGAAACTGTTAGATAGGCTCATCAGGAGGTTTAGCCTCGTCCCAGTTTGCCCTCTATATCCAGAACAGGTGTTTGGAAACTAAACAAACTAGCAAAAATAAAATCATGATATCTCCCACCACAGTGCATGAGCTGTTTCAAAGCTCCTTTAAAGACAGATTGCTGCACCCTAAAGGAACAATGAAGCGTTGTCATAGATCCTTCCTCCCAGCAGCTGTTTGACTTTATAGCCGTCACTGCTTCCATTAATCTCACTAAATAGTTTACATCCCTGCTGTTATTTACATATTTTAAATAGCCTGTTTCTTTTGCAGGTATATGCAACCAGAGTTCATATAAATTATTTCTAATTCATCTTTTTTCGTTGCACTTTTCTTAGAACCTCAGTATGTTATTTTTATTCAATGTACTATATTGTCTTAAGTTGTCTAATTAGCCATAACTGTTTGGTCGAATGTCTTAATTTTTATATATTTTATCTAAGAATGAACGATATATCTGATAACATTAATTTCAGATTGTTTTTTAAGCGTGTCACCGTATTAGGAGAGTGGTTTGTCGAGGAGATTAATCAAGTTTGGTCTCTTTGAAGTTTTACATAGTCTATCCAAATCTGCCACCACAGACAGAATTGCGTGTCATCATTTTTTAAAATGTTTTTAGGTATCAAAAGGTGAGGGAAATTTATATCTATAAAATATATTATATTGCTTATTGGCATTATTTTCACATATTAATATTGGCTGGAATTTGTATGTTTTTCATCCCTAATTTTAAATTTATGCACCTCATCTACACAAAAGAAAACTGCTCCTGTGCTTGGAATAAATGCAAATGTTTACTTAGATTAAGGGTTGATATTAATAACTGGGCTTCTGAAAACTCTTTTATGGTGAATCTTTTCAATCTTGTTTTATTTGTCTACATGCCAGGGTAGTGGGTAGTGTTTATCCTCTCTAGTCTTGTATAGTGAGCTGGGAGGAGATCAGCCGTCTTTCGTAGCTGGCCTGGGGTCAAAGGTCTACGGTTGCACTTGGAACAGGGAGTCAGAGGGTCACTGTCAGGCTGTCCCATATGACCTCAGAAAGCATCACTGCTCTCAGTTTGCTAAAACGAGCAGCGTAGTGAAAGGGAATCTTTAAAGCCAGAAATCCACAAACCAATGGGCTGAATTTGAGGCAGTTTGCACTTGATCAGCTCTAATTTATGATCAGACAATAAAAAAAACGATAAATTTATAATGTAATAATGCTAGAATTCTGTAATTTCCGAACATGGATCCAACATCATTATGTTTTTTCTATCTTACAGTCCTTATGTAGAAATAACATATTAAATGTCCTTAACTGACAGATGTCACCCAACCCTTCCTGGTTAAGGTAATGACATGAAGCAGGTCAGACGTAGTCCTGATCTGACACACTGACACAGAAAACCCTTGTATGCCGCCATCCTCTTGACCTGCATCAGCATTCGTTCCTCTAGGTTTGTTGCACCTTTAACCTGTACCAGCTGCCCACACACACTCATGCACAGTGCTTCGCTGCGGCTCGGGGAATTATTTGGCCATCAAAGCCGGGTCCTCTGGCCAGTTGGCCGTCTCTGTCAGCTCCGTGTTTTCCGATCAGCACATTCCTCTTTCTCTAGACAGGCAGAGGGAGACGTTTTTTTGGCAGTGCGCAGACTGGGTGGGGTAATGTTCATATCCTGTCCCCTGACCTCAGATTACACACATGCACACTTACTGTACTGTTTTGCTCATGCTAACACTCAAAGCTCTGCATTCTTTCTCTTAATGTGCACAGCTTTTTCTTCTGCTTGGGATCAGCTGTTACAGTCAGTCTTTGAGCCCCAGAGTCCTTCAGTTTCCTTTATGCTCTCTGTCAGTGGCAGAGCCAGTGTGGCCGTGCCAGTCTGGGCCTGTTGTTGTTCCCCACACCAACAAAGGCCTCTCTGTCAGCGTTAATGACCGTCCTCCCCCTGTCTTTCCATCTATTCCTCTTTCCCCCCCTGATGATACTGCTTGACCTGCACAACTGGGCTTGGTGTGACCCCTTCCCCCTCCATCTCTAACCTCAATGATGCTCCAGTCTGTTATGATCAATTTACTACTGATGTGCAGCTCCAAGAAGCCGAAAAAAAAAGATATTTTTTGCTGTGTTTTCCTCCCAAGAGTGAGCACCAGGGGTAAACACTGCACTGAATGCTGGCCTCCTTTTTTGAACTTTTTTTTTTCAAGGGAAAGACAAAGAACTCAGCGCTTCACTCCCTCATTCTCAAACTGTCTGCTTTTTTTCTTCCACTACTGTCCCTCCCTCTTCCTCTATTTCTCGTGATTTCAGTGTTGTGAAACCTCAGGAGAGAATCCAAAGTTCCAGATCTAAGTAACTCAGAGCTACCTCACACTGAGGATCTACATGCTGTGCTCAAAGGGAGTTTCCTTGATGATTATGTTGTTCTTCCAGACGAATCCCAAACTAAAGTGGATAGTAAGCAGAAAACTTTGAGGATGAAAAACACCACCTAGTGTTAAAGCATCCCACCTCCCTGTGCTCTGCTTGCTGATTGAACTCTGAAACATCAGTGGAAAGCAAGTAAAGATTCTAGAGTGCCAAACATCCGCGGCCCTCAACATGTGTTAATCACCCACTCTCACACAAAAGGGATGAGGGTCTCCAATCGTTGTGGAGTAGGTGTCGCAGGACTGAGGCAAAGCAGCCTGACGGGTCACTCCACTCAACAAACCATACCATCGCTGAATACAAAAGGGGCAGGATAGCAATGTTAGGGATTTGGAGCATTAGGGGTGTTTGTGTGTAGAGGAGGGCTGTGTTGGCTAACCGGGTGGAGCAGGTTTGCCTTCATGTTTGTTGCTCAAGCACACTGTATGTTTTGGGGTACCAGAGAGGTGGACTTTGTCATGCTTCTGTTGCTTCCTGCCAGAGTGAGTTAGTGGTGAGAAGCATGCAGAGTCCAAGGCCAAAGGAGGGAGGGGAGAGTGCTGGAAGAGATGAACGACCAAATCAGTTTCCGATACTCCCTCACATGCTTTATTTTTGCTTGGGATGCACAGATTTAAAATTTGTGGAACTTTTCTGCAAATGGCAATGTTTATTTAGAAAGAGTGTGTGTTTAGAGGAGGGTGATTGTAAACTATGTTTGGATAAAATGCATGGTGTGTGTATGTGGGACAGTAGCTTCTGCTAAACAGGTTTTAACTAAGATGGACTAACTGATTAGAGTTTAGCTTCACCCCTGGAGCATCTAGTGGGGATGTTCTAGGTAACTCTCTCTGATGATTGGCCTTCTTTCATTAGGATGTGGTCCTTCCCTCCAGAATTAAAACTGAAGCCTGACTCCCAATGTTTTCTAATAACAGCTTGTTCTACAATAGATGAATATAAGTATTTGCTGTTGTCTTTAGCCTTCCTGTTTGCTGAAGTCTTGCCCTCTCACTATTGGAGGTCTGTCTTTGAATCTTCTTTGATCAGCATCCTCACATAGTGTTAAACACAACCTGGCCTGGTAGTGCTTGATTATCTCACTTTTGACTGATTTTCAGTCCCTTGTGCATGTTTAATTTCTGGCTTGGTTTTACCCTAAATCTCTCAGGGCTGTCCCAGTTCTCTGCCTAGAACGGTTCCCTTGTACTTTCTACCATCACATTTAGGTCTCATAGCCTGGAGGAGGTGATTATTTTCTAATCATCTTTGTTCATAGCAGCTAATGAAAAGCCTCACAATGGTGCTATATCTTTTTGTAGCTGTAATTAGACTTAGATTGCAACTTTATAGAGTTTAGAAGATTTGCTTCAAAGAGGATTAATACAATGAGTCAGCTGCTGTATATGTGTGTTAGTTAAAGCAAAATCCTAATGTGTGTGTGTGTGGGTGTGTGTGTCAGAGGAGTGGCACAGTTGTCCGGTGTTTGTGTGGTAATTCTGACTAACATGACGGTGTGATGTTACTATCTTCTCTCCTAGGTGACATCACTCAGAAGGGCTATGAAAAGAAGAGAGCCAAGCTGCTGGCCTCCTACATCCCTCAGCTGCCAAGTAAGACCAGTTCTTCATTTTGTTCTGCCTTTCCATTTCCTCATGTCTGGACTGAGCTGTCCTTCCTCCAATGGTGTTGTTATAATCTTTCAGCTCTTATTTAGCCAAAAACTTGCTTCAACTTTGTTAAAGTTGAAGCAAGTTTAAAATCATGAAGTGCTCAATTACCAACTTTTAGAGTTAAAACATCACTATAGTTGACTCAACGCTTTACATAAGTATTCAGTACAGTAGTCTTTGTTTTTCATGTGGAGGTAATTTATAGAAATAATTAGGTTTGTGTTTAAATGTTTTTGTCCTAAAGTACAAAGGTATTACTGAGCTTGTTGGGCCCCCTAGTGTTCACAATTGCAACTGCATTTCTAGTATGATTGTCTGAATCAGAAAAGGCTTTATTTCCAAAGAATCTTTTTATTTAGGAATTTTCTTTGGTTGTATAGAGTCACACATCAATAATAACCATAAATAAATTTCGAACTATATAATATAGATTAACAAATGCAAATTGTTTGGGAGTGTAATGAGAATAGAGAAAAGTAGCTTTTTCAACTTTTGGCAGAGTAAAAATACCATGACAGAATTTATTAAACAGTTACAATAGAAAGTTAAATTAAGATACTTCTACACAAAGTATTCCAGGGGGACAGAAACCTTTAGTTTAAACAGCATTTTTTTGTCCCAATAATAACAAAACTTGTTTACATACATAAAACAATCACATTTGAAAGATAGCTTTTAATAAGCATTTATAGTAAAATAAACTATTTTATTATAGTTTTATAAAAGCATTTACAAAGCGTGCTAAATAAGGTTTAAAAAAGTCTTTGTAAATAAAATCCAGAATGTGGAAATTCATAGATGTAATTTGGTAAAGCAGAGATGATATTAGCTATTTGTTACCTTTATATTCAAAGTTAAAAAAAAAAACTCTTAAAAAGAAAAAAAAAAGTTACGTATGTACCTGCGGTCCTATACATCCCTTATGACAGCCAGAGGGCAGTGCTGACAACACTCAATGTTCCCTTTGCATGCACAGTTCTACCCTGTTTTACTAACAGGGTCACAGGTGTGACCCCGTTAGTAAAATTGGCAGTTATCCAGGGTTCATAGAACCGTAGTTACATACATAGCTTCCGTTCTCCTTCATCCCTACTGACTGCCAGAGTGCAGTACTGGAAGTACTGAATGACTAATTCCAACCATGTCACAATGAATCCTGACCACATATCTCATCGGGACGGCCCAGCTGAACCTCGTAAAATAATGGCCCACGGGATGAGGGGCAGCCACGTTGATCTTGTAGAACCTGGTGAATGTGCTTGGAGATGCCCATGATGCTACAGACTGTATGGCATCCAGCCGAGCCCTCTTATAGCTGCAATAGGAACGCCCCATAGGAATGCCACTCATAGGAACCAGAGATGCTCTCGGTAGAGGGGGCCTTTACACCGTCTGGCAGCAGTTGGTGTCCTGCACTCTAAGTATGGTAGATGACATCCACAATGTAGTGGGGGAGACTTTGTTTAGAAAGAGACCATAGCACACAAAAAGCTGGTGTGAGCATAAGGTAACACCAGAACCATTTGGATCCCACCAGGGACATGAGGGACTAACAGAAAGGTAGCTCATCAACCCTCTTAGCTGAAACGATGGCTAACAAAAAGGGAGTCTTATATTAGAGTCTCTGGCCGTGCTACTGGCATCTGTGGTGACCATCTCCCTGCAACACACCACAATTCCCATTGGAATACCCTTAGACAACTATGTCCTGTCTCACCATAGGGCCAGGGCATAAAGGCATGTCCATGTCACTATGAACCTGCAGTGACTGCGAAGTATGGCGTGCAGAAAGCTGTTGAGCCACCTTTGAAAAGGGCGCAAAAGTAGCAAACCCAAGAGTGACAGAAGTCAGTTTGTGTTGCATCTGCAGGAAGACGATTTGGGGAAACCGCTTGCCCAGCCTGAATCTACTGACCAGTTTGAGTATGCCGTCTACACTGCGAACAGATTGACAATCCATCCAGTTTCAATAGCCAGTTTGACCCGCCATGAAAAGAGGAGGTGCAGTTGGAAATCTAGCCTGTAGTCATGGGTTCAGAGTGGCAACCACCCATGGATCCACAGTATGAGCAGTTCAAAACCTGAGATGGCGATTGGGAAAAATGTCAGACGGCTGGCCTGGTGGAATAATTTTCTATCCCCACAGGCCTTGGAAGTCCTGAGGGAGGGGCAACCAGGATCTGAGGCCTGAGGCCCCTCCCTCAGGACTTCTCAGGACTAGCTGAGCGGTGGACAGGCTCATGAAAGTCCCTGCCAGGTCTCTGCTATACATCAACAGAAAAAAGAAAACTACCAGTCCTTTTGCCAGTCCAAGGCTATGGCCATAACGGTGTTTCATCAAAATAAAGAAATTTGTAGATGTTATTTGGTAATGCAGAGAAAATGTTAGCCATCTGTTACCTTTATATTCAAAGCCAAAACAAAAATACTAATGAGGCACCTCTGCTGCACTGTTGGTTATGCTGGGAGAGGGGGGGCAAGCAAGTGCTGTCATCACCAGGTAGAAAAGCCATCAGGTAGAAAAAATGAAAAAATAAGGCCTCTTGACATCGCAAGCTGCAGAAAAAAACAAGGTGAGTAATACTGGGAGAGGGTCACATGAGGCGAAGTAAGGAACAGAGCACTGATGACACCAGTATATACAGCTTGTGAGTTCTGGTCCTAAGGTGAAAGTTTGTTGAATTAGTTACTTAAACTGCGAAACATTCCATGCTTTCATCACCGCCCTCTGGCAGTAGATATGAAATTATGTAAATCTAGATTTGAGTGCTTTAATGCTTATTTCTATAATTGATTTTTGCCTTATGTGTTATTTACACAATGTCTTCGTCTCAGCGCTAATAATCAGATTTGCCTAAAAGATGACTTAATTCTGCAGAAGTCATCTCCTTGGGTTCATTTTATTCTGAAAGCCATAACTATACAGGGCTTGTTACAACTACTCCTTTAAAAGCATGAACTGCATCACTGACAATAACCAAACTGTAATGTTATTGCCTACACGTTGCTATGGCAGTATGCAAAGTAAGTGTGTTTCCTGCCTGTGTGCAAAAATGCTGCTGATCATTAAGCCCTCATATTTTTGCATATTTTGTTGTTGTCAGGTAGTAAAGATTCAACTCCAGGGTTTCATTGTCACCATCTAGTATTTGGAAAATAATATTAAGTACAATTTTAATTAACATGTCTTTGTGTCCATAATTCAAAAGAACTCTTTCCTACCAAGAGAAATGAACCAAAATGCAATAGGATATAGATAAGTAATTATTCTATGGGGACAAAAATTTAAATAGGAAGGTAATAAATGGCAGCTTTATACAAAAGGGGTGATATGAATTTATTGAAGGGGGGAATAAATCATGAGCTGTGCAGGAATAAAGTTTAAATATTTTTTGCTGCCGAACCACACATGCTCTTCTAAACATGTTTCCCCCTGTTTTCTAGAAGCGGACCTTTCTCTGCCAGATGTACAGCCTTCCCCAAGCCACAGTGCCGACCCCAGCCCAAGTCCCGAGGCCCCGGGCCCCTCCACCTCTTCAGCCTCCAGACACCATCGTGCACACCGCAGTGGAGGGGCCAGGGATGAGCGCTACAGATCAGGTTCATAAGTTCACCATCCTAACAAATACTCAGCAAAAACATTTTCCAGCAAAAGTGAAACCATACTGTAAATGCACCATCACGCTGTATGATATTGTTTCCTAATTCGTCTGAATCTGTTTGTTTTTTGCTGCTAAGACATTCACACAGAAGCTGTTCAGGCAGCTCTGGCCAAACACAGAGAAGAGAAGATGGCGCTGCCCATGCCCACCAAGAGACGCTCATACTTTGTCCACTCTCCCATGGATAACTGCACGCCTCCAGGTAAAATCCATTTCCCCCACCAAAAACACAGTTTGTGGTTCTAAGACCCGAAAGGAAAGCTCAATCTTAAGCTTTATAGTACATTCAAAGCTTATTCAAACCAGGATGGTGGGCAGAGGTCACATTTTAACAACACAGTTATTAGTTCTTCAGTGATTGATATTATATTCACTGTTCTTTGAGCATTTTGACGAAGAACTTTATGGAAACAGCTAAATCTGATTCAGTCTACTTAATTTAGCATAAAACAGTTTTAACACTCTTGTGGTGGATTTTGCCTTTTCCAAAAAAAAAAAAAAAAAGAGTTAAAGTGCTAAAGATGAGATGGAAATGCACTTATGGAATAAGTTCTGCTGTAGTAAAGGTTTACCTCACGACTGATCAGCGTTTCCGCTCCCGACGTCCTAAATGCAGGCATTAGAATTGCACTTCTCTCTCTAATGTACCTGGATGGGATCTAAAATAGCTTATAATAGCTCACATGATAAAAGCAAGTTCAACTTTCACAATTGCACCACATTCACTAAAACCTTAATTACAGATCTGTGCTCTGCGCTGGTTTGCTACCTCTGCATCCTGTTTACTGCTGCCAAGCATAACGTCAACATATGACAATGTTACGCTTTGTTTCGCACGAGTAATTCACTTCAATGGATGGAAACGCCTCCAATCCTCACTTTCTCCCATTCACATGAGAATTGGATGGAAACACAGCTAGTGTGTGTTTGTGTGAATGATTGCCGGGGAGGTGATGAGTCTAAAACCAGTAAAGAAGCCTCATCCTTCGGGGAAAGAAGTAGAGCCACAAACTAACCGCATTAAAGAGTGAGTGCAGTGAGGAATGGACTCATAACTCACAGAGGTACATAGGTTGAGCGGTTACACTGATGGTGGACGATTAAAAATAGTTTCCTCTTTAAAAGTTGGTTCAAAAAATCCCTGGATAACCACAGATACACCGTCAGGAGTGTTTGGCACGGGTGATAACATTGTTAGCCATCTGCTCACTTTGCTAGATCTCAGCAAGGTAAACGAGCTGGTTTTCCTGTCAAAGATTATGCAACACTTAATCACTAACCTTATTTTTCTGTTTATGTCCCATTTCTTTTGGCCAGTGGTCTATATTATTGTTGGGATTTTTACCTTTTCTGTAGAGTCACCTAGTCCCTATAGGGCGGCACAGTTTTAGTGGATTATAATGTGATCTAAATCTGTTTTCTTTTTAACAGATTAACACAATGGATTTTTTGGTAAATAAGGAGGGAAAAAATACTGTCATTGAAAACAACTTAGACTTAAACTTATTGTTATTTTGTATATATCATTTGTGTATACAAAATGGAATTTCATTTTGTACAGCTTTCATGATATTTCCATTTCTTAAAGGTGCAATAGGAGATCTTGGAAAAATGGTTTCAGCAAGCTATTTTTTTGAACATACACAACCATGCTTCTCCCTTCGAACCTCTCAAAACCACGCCTTCAAAACACATGAACGCGCATGCTGTCTGCAGCGTGTCTGAGCAGCTGAAGCTGCGCATCGCACAGAGCTGGCAAGGAGTAAACAAATGTAAACATTGTGGGAGAAAAAAAACAGCGTGCAAAAAAAAACGCATTGATATGGTCAGTTTGATGCAGAGTCTGTGACATGATTTAGTTTTTTCAACATTCAGCTGTCTGATGGCGGTGGGGAAGAAGATTTTTTGGAATCTCCTGGACCTGCATTGAATGCTGTGAAGCCTCCTCCCAGAGGAGAGAACAGTCCATGGAGGGGTGTTAGGGGGAGAATATTAATTTTGTTATCCTGTGAGCGGGTGTTGGAGAGTAGGATTGATGGTAACGGTGGTCTGTGAAGATTCCTTCTAAGCTTCGCCGTTAGCCCCCCCTGGAGCCCAGCTCACACCACCTAGCACACCGCTTCCTCCGTCCTGGTATGCTCAGCTCGCCCACTGCTTTGTTTACATCCGTCCGTAGCACTCAACAGGTTTTTAAACGGTCAAGAGTGGCTGTATTTAAAGCATTTTGTGACTGTAGCTCCTGCAGGCGTTGGCGGTCGTAGATGCGGGGTTGATGACTGGTTTGTAGCGTTCCGAACGTCATATTTGGTCGAATTGTTGAGAGCTCAACTTGGTCGCTGCCGCCAGGCGCTGCCATAATCTCATCTAAATAAACAGCGATTGGCTCAACAAAGTGGCATTGGTTGCTTAAACTGTCCAGTCATCTAATCCTAATCCATACTCCTCTAATTGTTCCTTTGTGTTTGTCTGCTGGGAGTCGGCAAACATATGAAAGGAAGTGCGATACAAAATTAAAATGTTTTGGGATATATGGATAGTCTCTGACGAGGGAAAATAATGCTACACATGACAGCCTCTCTTCTTCAGTTCTTTCCTTCAGGAAGAACTGGGCGGCTTGGTAGAGCGATGGAGCCAAATACAGGAGAGTTAGAAAACCTGTAAAAGATTTTGGTTGAAGTTCACTTTCTATCAGGGCAACAAGCATAAAGACACAGCCGAAACTTTGAAGGAAATGTTCAGCTCTATGAAAACACATGCGTTAGAGTGGCCCAGTCAAAGCTGTTAACCGGACCCAGATGAGCAGCTCTGGCAGAACCTAAAATTGATGTTCACAGATGTTATTTATTCAGTGTGGCTGAGCTTTAAGAAAGGAGAATGAATTAGGCGGATTGTTTTAGTCTATAAATGTAAAAAGACTTACAGCTGTACCTGCTGCCATGTATCAGCCTGAACACACTGACTATAAATCCACATTTATTTATTTTTTAATAAATTAGAGAACACCGCCATTTAGGTGGTATGGATATTTATCAAAGATTTTGGAGATATTTAGAATTTTAAACATAATAAGCTGACTTTATTTTTTTTTTTTTTACTGTTCTCAGATACATCCTCTGCATCAGAGGATGAAGGCTCGCTGCGCAGAAAGGCAGCTCTCAGTGCCGTGCTTGCCCAGACCCTCCAGAGCCCCGATTACTGGATTAACCGCTCCGTCCAAAGCTCTTCCACGTCCTCGTCTGCTTCCTCCACCCTCTCCCATGGAGAGTCCAAGACCCAGCCTCAGCCGCAGCCTCAGCCTGGTGTCTCTCTGCTGGCCGACGTCCTGGCTCACACACGTATAGGTATGCTTTACCTTTGGACACACCTGCTACCTGTTGGTTGTTAACTACTGATTATTAATGCTGCTTCATCTGATCTCCACCACTAGAAAACAGTGTCCCCCCAGATGTGACGTCCTCCACTCCACAGGAGAGAGGATCCAGAGTGGATCTTCCTCCAGCAATCAGGGGGATGAGCCGCGGACAGAGCCGCTCCAGCATGCTGGATACAGCTGATGGTAAACTAACACAAGCTTGGATGTGTAAAAAATGTACATTTAGGGATTTTAAAAGCTAGCTGGCTGTGTGTTAATGTGGAACCTGGGGTTTACTGACATGTGGTTCTTCCTTTTCAGTTGGGAAGTTTTCTTTGTATTAGAGGAATTAATTGTTCCTGTTTTACTTTAACCAAGTTGTTCTGAATGAAAGTATAAATGTTGATCTAAACTTCACGGGCAAAATGATTTCTCAGTTTGGGGAATGGTGCTAATGACGGATGTTTTGTGTTCTTTCTTTTGGGTCCATTAATCCTGTCCATGTCTTGCCTTTGATTTAAAAAAAGGAAAAAGAAAAGGTAATATACAACGAACCCGGGGAAGGGGAGGGACGCTGGCGAAGCCCAATCAGCTTGCTTTCCAGAACCTTTTTTTTGTTTGTCTAGTGTCCTAGGCGTAGAAGTAGATCTCTTCTTGTATGTAGTTTCTCCTAAAAATAGTCTGACCTGTGTGTGTCCTCTTGTTCAAAATTTTCCCTTCGAATCCTTCCTGCTGCTGATTCTGATGCCGACTGTGCTAGGCGTAGGGTTCTGCCTGTGTGAGAGTGTGTGAGATGTGGCAGCGATATGCGTTGGGGCAGAACTGCATCTGTGTTTCTATCCCTATTGTTTGTTTGGGGTCTTGACTGTGTCTTGGTGTTTATCCAGGCGTGCCGGTCAGCAGCCGGGTGTCCACCAAGATCCAGCAGCTGTTGAACACTCTCAAAAGGCCCAAACGGCCCCCTCTCTGCGAATTCTTCCTCGATGACTCAGAGGAAATAGTAGAAGGTGAGTCTCATCAGGGGAAATAATCACTTTAGTGATGCTTGAAAAATTGTTTTACTTGTTTTGTTGTTAGAGTTCATTCATTCTAAAATAATAAAATGAGTTTAATTAGGTTTCAGTTCTTGATTCTGCCAAGAATTTTGCAAACACTAAAAGCTACCAGATATGCATTTAGCTTGATAATGGTTTAAAAAGTTTCTTTTATCTCCAGTTCCACAGCCAGATCCTAACACCCCCAAACCTGAGGGACGTCAAATTATCCCTGTGAAGGGGGAGCCTCTGGGAGTGGTCAGCAACTGGCCTCCTGCTCTGCAGGCTTCCTTGGCCCGTTGGGGGGCCAGCCAAGCTAAGAGCCCTGCACTCACTGCCCTGGACATCACTGGGAAGCCTCTCTACACACTCACATACGGTGAGCATTGATGATAAAGACTACATTCTGCTCCCAAAACAGTTTGCCTTTTCTGTCCACTTTAGGTAGGCCTTTTAAACTTCAACAAATAATGAAAACTACATCCTCCTTTAGGCAAACTATGGAGCCGTAGCTTAAAACTGGCATATACTCTGCTCAATAAACTGGGGACCAAGACTGAACCTGTCCTTCAACCTGGAGACAGAGTAAGAGATCATCAGTTTCTGATTTGTATCGTGCCAAAGTTTAAAAGGAGCATGAATGTGAAGCAATCTTTTTGGTTCCTAGGTGGCATTGGTTTATCCAAACAGTGACCCTGGAATGTTCTGGGTGGCTTTCTATGGCTGCCTGTTAGCTGAAGTCATTCCTGTCCCCATTGAGGTACCTCTGTCACGTCAGGTAAATATTATAATCTATAGGTTTAGGTTGAAAAGGAAAATTCAAACGATCTAATTGAAGCTGCTTTTAATTATTATTTTTTTTCTTAACAGCAACCCAGAACCTTAGTCATGATTATTTGTCCTAAGTTCCTCTTTTTAGCTGCATGTAGGTCAGCTTTGTCTTAAATTTTTACCAATTCTCCAAATAGGACGCAGGCAGCCAGCAGATCGGCTTCCTGTTGGGCAGCTGTGGTGTGAGTTTGGCGCTGACCAGTGAGGTGTGCCTAAAAGGGCTGCCCAAGACACCAAATGGGGAGATTGTCCAGTTCAAAGGTTAGTAAACACAAAATGGTCTGGTTTTGTTGTAAAGTATTATAAAAGCAGAACAGAATGGGTCAATATTGCATTGGCGAGCAGTTGACTTTTTTGCTCTGATTGGAATGCGGATTAAGAATTCTGCAATACAAATCTCCATAATTTCTATCAGTAAACGGCTTTTATGTTCCTTTTGTTGTTTTGTTTTTTCTTCCCAGGATGGCCAAGGATGAGATGGGTTGTTACAGACACAAAGTACCTGACCAAACCATCCAAAGACTGGCAACCTCACATTCCCACTGCCAACACTGACACAGCCTACATAGAGGTACGTTACCAACATGATCAACCAACAAAAAATGCTTTTCAAACTGGGTTAGAAAATTAATTTGAACACAATTTTGACTTGATTGCAAAGAGTTAAATCATTCTAAGTTTAAGTGTCTAAAAGGGACCTTGTAACAATATATCATACTTTAATTTTAAAGGATATCTGTCAACGAATGAAATATTCAGAGGAAGAAGATGAAGATATGATTCAATATTGTTTGTTATCTACAGTTTATATTTACGTTGAGTTAAAAGAGTATTTTTGGTTAATTTTTGCCCCTACACTTGTTTAAAACACAAGGTTTATTTGCTCACTTGTTTCCGTTAAAGTATAAAGCGAGTAAGGAGGGAACAGTGATGGGAGTTGCCGTCTCCAAGATTGCCATGTTGACGCACTGCCAAGCCCTCACCCAGGCCTGTAACTACAGTGAAGGTTAGAACCATAGTTAACTTAGAAGTCATTTGTTTGTTTTAAAAAGTGTAAAAACTAAAACTTGATGTTTCCATATTAGGGGAGACCCTGGTCAACGTGTTAGACTGCAAAAAGGACATGGGTCTGTGGCATGGCGTCTTAACGGTGAGGATGGTTGACGGGGCAGATTGCATACCCTGATGCAAAGCTTCTTCACCTTAAAAAAAAATGTTGTTTTTCTTTCTATGTTTTGCAGAGTGTTATGAACAGAATTCACACCGTCACCGTGCCGTATGCTGTCATGAAAGCCTGCCCCATGTCCTGGGTGCAGAGGGTTCACATCCACAAAGGTTCAGATGGATTTTTTTTTATTGTATTTCAGCTTTCATGTTTGGATAGTTTCTGTTCATTTATTTAAAGTGATTTTTTAATCATGGCAGAATCGACATTGACTGTCTAGATGACCAGAAGGTGGTGAAAACACCAAGGGAAATCAGTTGTTCGATTAGGTTTTCCAACAACCTCCCTTATAAAACTGGTGTATAAACACCAGATGCTAATTGGCTTTAGCATGATGAGCATCCACCAGCTCCTAATTAAATCACCTTGATTGTCATTGAACATCTCTTGAGCAGTCATCATTTGGATCATCTGGAGTGCCTGATAGAGTTAGGTTAGAATTAATCCTGTGGATTCACTAAGTTCTGTGATCCAGTATCTATGGGTTTAGACTAATCAGTATGTCAGAACTTAAACACTTTAAATCTGACTCCTTCCCATGTGGCTTAGGGTATTGCTGGGCAGTTTCTCCAGGTTCTGAGGGGTTGAGTGGTTGCTGAATCAAAGTGCTGCCATCAAAACTTAGAAGGTGTCATTATCGCATGAGATTGTTTAGATCAGCAAAGTCTTAAAGAAACACAGTGTTAACAACGGGTTTCCTGATTCAACCTTTTCATCTTGCTACAATACTGATTTTGAGGCTTTGAGAGCCATAATCTACAATAATAGGTATAAGAACAGCTGATCCATTTATTATTAACAATTTGTTACATACTGTACCCTTTAAATAGAAGCAGAGTGTTTCTAACAACTTGCTTGTATTTCAGATGTTAGCCACAAGCTGACATATTCCGATACCATTTGTCAGATTTTCAAGGTCGGATAAGGACGTGCCCTAATCTAAACCGAGAGAATCTAAAATGCTCTTTAAAATAATCTGTATAATTTCTATCATTTTACAGCTCCTTTAGTTCAAATCGTATTGATTTTGTTATTTATTCTGGTTTATTCATTGTCTTATGCTTTTTAATCTCTGGATATTTGTTGGGTTATCTTTTTTTTAAGATTTAAGAATATATGCTTTTAAATTTGTACCTCCATTGTTTCCTCCTCGTCATCAATATTCATTTTTCTGTCCTTCAAGCTAACAACATTTCTATAAACAATACTAAACATTTCTATGTTTACCATTTTTTGAGTTTAGGTTTTTTAAACAGCTTTTGGCTCATGAAGGAGAACTGCTCTCAATAAAAACTTTATCTTTACCCGACTGATTTTTGCTAAGATCAGTCGTGTGTCTCCCGTTTCCTGTTTGTGCTCATAGTGCTTCTTGTTCTCCTCTAACAGCGCGTGTGGCTTTGGTGAAGTGCAGAGATCTTCACTGGGCCATGATGGCCCACAAGGATCAGAAGGACATCAACTTGTCTTCTATACGAATGCTGGTAGTTGCTGATGGAGCAAACCCATGTGAGTGACTTATGTTCCATAAAAAAATCCTGTTTCTATTATCTAAAATTCAACACATCAGTAGTTTCAAGCTTTGTTTTCTTAATATCTTCATCGATTGTTTACTACCAGGGTCTGTGTCGTCGTGCGACGCCTTCCTGAATGTGTTTCAGTCTCATGGTCTGAGGCCTGAGTCCATCTGTCCATGTGCCACCTCACCGGAGGCCCTGACTGTGGCCATACGCAGGTACCACATGAACATCAACACTGATAGTTGATTCAGAACCCTTAAAAGTTTTATATGCAAACATGTTGGGTTAAGTTTTAACTCATGACTCGGGGGATAGAAATTGGGCCATACATGTCATTGCTGTTTCAGAGGGAATGACTGGGCAAACAAAGTCATTTCAAATATACATTCATAAACATGATTTCTACCCATGCTGCCCAGTGAGGTGCGCCCCTAAGATCCAATTATGGGCCAGTATGAAACATCTAAAATGGCTGATGTAACCTTGGGGCCTAAAATGCTTGGGGCTGTGTAGACCTTAATCCTTCATTCTAACTCAGACTTAGACTTCCTTTATTGTCATTGCACAAAAAACAGAAGGTGAATCTTGACAACGAAATGTCGATTACTGGCTACCAGTGTAACAGAGCTAAGACCTTATTCCTGCATAATAAACATGTTTTCTATGAGTAAGAGCTAGCTATATACAGGGTAAGATTATATATATATATATACATATATATTGCACTGAGTTATTGAAGAGGTAACATCAATAAATAAATATTGCACTGAGTTATTGAATATTTCACCCAAGTGTTATTGAAAATGAAACATTAAATTGAAGACAAAACTAAACTAAGGTGCGTGAATTGTCCATGTCTATGGGGGGAGGAGTGTTATGTGGCGTTAAGCAATCTGATGGCCAGGGGAAAGAAACTGTTCAGTAGTCTGGCCGTTCTGCAGAAGATGCTGCGGAACCTTCTGCCGGACGCCTGGCGGGAAAAGAGCACACTTCACCTTTAGTGTGATTTCATTTGGGGAGAAGGGCGATTATTAATCAAGTGTTGCGCTCCATGTCACATCTACCAGATTATTATACAGACTGTGAGAATGAGACAGAGCAGGATAGGAAAAAAAATAAGATAAATCTGTTGTTTTGAGAAAACCTTCCGTTGGGTTATAGTTTCACTTTGCACGAAATGAAGAAAACAATCACAAACCTGTTACGGGAAAATAATGTGATCTATGATTTCTTTTTTTTTTTTTTTTGTTCTGTGTAGACCTGGTGCACGGGGAGCTCCGCTCCCAGCCAGAGCCATCCTATCCATGGCTGGGCTTAGCCATGGCGTCATCAGAGTCAACACAGAGGACAAGAACTCTGCTTTAACTGTCCAGGATGTTGGCCACATTATGCCTGGAGGTGAGTCCCTGTAGATGGAGTTGATGTGCAGTGTCCATGCATACATTTACCTTTATTATATTTACATGTTTTTTCTTAGCCCTTTTAATCCTAATATTGGGAGCTTATTTTGTTTTCCAGCTCTGATGTGCATTGTTAAACCAGACGGGCCGCCACAACTGTGCAAAACTGATGAGATTGGAGAGATAGTGATCAACTCTCGTGCTGGAGGAACAATGTACTACGGCCTTCCTGGTGTCACAAAGAACACATTTGAGGTCCTTGAGTGAATATTTACATTTTCTTATAAATTGTTGCTTTATGTTATTTGTAAGATGTTGTTGCTTTATTATTTCACTCTAAATTATCCAGCTTGTTTTCACAAAATCTCCTCTAACTGCTGAAGATGAACAGTTAGCTATGTTAGAAAACAGTGCACAAAATGAAGGAAATTTTCAAAAATGACATTATTAAATTATTGCAATAATATCTGTTTTCTATTAGCACAAGTTATTGTACCAGTTATTTCCCCGTCTTTCTTTTCTTTTAATCTCTGTTTTTTTATGTTTGAGTGGAATGATCTGACACTAATATCCTGTCTTCTTATAATTTTCTCTTTAGGTTATTCCAGTCAACCAAGCTGGAGCACCTATTGGAGAAATCCCCTTTGCTCGGACCGGTTTACTTGGATTTGTGGGTCCGGTAAGGGAACAGAAGTATTTAAATATTACTAACCACAATGCTGAAGAACTAGGGCCTGGTCTTTGACCCGTTCATTTCGATTAATTAATGAGAAAAATATTAAAGTGTTAAAACAATGTACACATTATACACATACTAAAATTCCAAGCAGGAACCTTTTTGCTCTTGGTTTTTGTACGCCTGTAAATCCGACACACAAGCTGCATCACAGATATTGGTCCACTTGGAATATTTAAGCTTAAAATCTATCATGGCTTGAACTGAATACGATCTCTCCAGTGAGATGAACTTAGCAAATACCTCAAATAGATAGATGAACATCTCTAGGCTACGGTGGAAGTGCGTCCACCATGATAAACACTATATAACCGAACAGTGCAAAGACTAAGACAGGAACTTGGATCAGGAACATGGATTATTTGTGTGAGTAGCTGGATTAATGAGAAACAGTTTCCTCACTGGTAAATTTTTTATTTGTACTAAATGCTGCACATTGAAGACCAGAACAGGCAGTATTATATGTCTTGTTGCTATCTATCGTTCATTAGATCGATATCTCTATCTATCTAGCTTGCTAGCTAGATATAGCTATATATATATATATATATATATATATATATATATATATATATATATATATATATATATATATATATATATATATATATATATATATATATATATATATACTTTTTTTTATTTTGTCAAATATGATAATTTTTTTTTTCATTCTCTTTGCTCCACAGGGGAGTCTTGTGTTTGTTGTTGGGAAGATTGAAGGCCTCCTGATGGTGAGCGGGCGACGCCATAATGCTGATGACCTGGTAGCCACGGCGTTGGCAGTGGAGCCTGTCAAAACAGTTTACAGGGGGAGGTATGACTCCACTGCTCCCTATGAGCCACAGAGAACAGTCACTGTTTGTGTGCAGTTGTCTCTCAAGACGGCAGTGTTTTTGCAAATTGTATTTATAAGCATTACCTGCTTATTTTAATGTTATTAAATGTTCTCTTAAGAACCTGTGTTCATTTCAGCTGTTTCAATATCATCCTCCCAGGATCGCTGTATTCTCAGTGACGGTGTTTTATGATGAGAGGATAGTAGTTGTGGCAGAACAGAGACCTGATGCCAGTGAGGAGGACAGCTTCCAGTGGATGAGCCGAGTACTGCAGGTAATTTCATGAGTCTGCTTAAGTGTTTATTTTTAGACAAAGCAACTTTAAAAAAACCCTCACCAAAAACTATGTGGCTGAGAGACAGTATTTACCCCCTGCTCTCTGTATTCTTTTGACACAATTTAGTGTTTTATGTTTAAGAAAAAATAGGTGTTTTAGTTTATATAAGGGTTGGGGAATAAGAATCAAACCATTTTTGTTTTTTGCCCACAGCTACTTCTCTCTTTTAGAGAATTTTAGGTCAAGTAAGGTTTGGTTTGAAAACGGCTTTTTCAATTACATTATAACAAGTTATTTATACAGCGAACTGTTGGCAAGGGGTCAGTAAATCATTACTGGTGTTAAAAGTATCAATAGTAATTCCCTTTCCATCACTTTGCTCTCTTGAATTGTATAATGATATGGTCAAACTAGCAATGAAGCTGCTCAACTCAGTGTTTATTTGTAATAATTCCCTGATTCTCTTATATAAATAAAAGTTAACCTGTAGGCCATTATGTTTGTTTTTTCTTATCAGTACAATGGTTGGATTGAGAAGTTAGAGGTAAAAAAATGCATCAAGATGTGGAATCATTCCTCTGTTTAATTATCCTCAGTGCTGATCCAAAACGTAAAAATCCTGCAGAGTTCAACAATTTGCATTTCCAGCTGAACAACACAGATTGGAGGCACATCAACTTGTTCAGTGAACAGGAGGATTAAAAGCTGGGAATGCTTTTGGATTATCCGCCTGTATGCTGCTCCTCCAAAGTTACAGCCAGTTTTCATCCTTGCTGTAAGCAGGACTAGTATTAGACATGCTTTGGTAACATAAACATGTATTGATGGTTATAACATGAGCCTTCTGTTTTTTGGAAAGGAGAGAAGTGTGATGCACGTTTGTGATGCAAAGGCAAATGATGTGACCTAACTGAGCCCACACATGCCTGAGCAAACATATGCACAATCACAGTACCACGGTCTCACCTTTGAAAGAAGATGCTCGTGCACTCTTCTGCAAAAAAAAGGAGCTGAAGTTTATGTTTTAATGTTCTGCATCATTCAGTTGATCATATCATGTAAAAACAGCATCTTTTTTGGTTAAGCTCCCCCAAAGTCATATACATCTCTCGTGAACTACACTACATATTAAAATGGTGAAAGATTGTACCACTTTTCCCTCAGGTGCATTTATTTTTATTTATTTATTTTTTATTTTGGTAACCGGCACTCTGAAGCATGTGTCAAGTCTACATGATTTTCTGCATATTTTCTCTTAAGGCAATCGACAGTATCCACCAGGTTGGCCTTTACTGCCTCGCTCTTGTGCCAGCCAACACGCTCCCAAAGACACCATTAGGAGGCATCCACATTTGTGAAACCAAGCAGAGTTTTCTGGATGGAAACCTGCATCCCTGCAACATCCTCATGTGCCCGCATACGTGCGTAACAAACATGCCCAAGCCACGACAGAAACAGCCAGGTGAGCCATCATCTGAATCTGTTGCAAGTAGAGAATAGTAATAGCATGGGAATAGTAATGGTACTCTATCTTACCCTGTACAGCAGTTCTGCGACCATTATTTTCTTAAGGTTCAAATTTGATCAATTTAAGATGTTTAGATGGTTTCTATTCTAAAAGTTTAAATAATAGAAGGGGGTGCTTTTTTGTATTGACTTGTTTTTTCCACTCATGTCTCTGGTCTTCATAGTGGATGTTGGTCCTGCCTCTATGCTTGTTGGCAACCTGGTTGCAGGGAAGCGGATTGCCCAGGCCACAGGCAGAGAGCTGGGTGTGGTGGACGATCAAGACCTCATTCGAAAGGTAGCTTTGCACAATTGGATCTGTTAACAGATGCTTATCAAAAACAAAACTAGAATAACTATTTTACTGCCATAAGAATGTGGCTAAACACATGTTAACCTTTGTTAATGTTTTCTTCATCGCCTGAATCCACACTGCATTCATCTAATGTCAACAAAGATAATTATCCCAGCCACAGGCATTTCAAGATGAATAAGTGATTTAAGATGTGGGATAGTTAGCTAATTATTTTTGTGTAGCAGTTTCAGAGAGTTAGTTGAAAATTATATATTTCCATTATATCTGTATCCTACTTTATAAATCAGGGCACATTCAGTCACACGTAGTTATTCTGTTCACACTGAATACAGTGCAGCTGCAGTGCTGTAAAAATTAACTCACAATGAATGCTGCGACTAGGTTGGATTCAGAAACAGCCCTTGAAAGAAAACTGAGGGGGTCCTGTTCAAGAATTGTAGTGCAAAGTTTTACTAACCACTACTTTTTACCAACTTCTCACAGCAAATATAGCAAAACCCTCCCTGCCATTGAGCACAGAAGCATCAGACGCATCTTTTCACACATCTGGGTTTAATGTGTACAAGCATAAAAAAATGAAGCAGTAGACGCTTCTTTCTGATTTATTGAATTAACCTATGAAACATAATATTGTACCTAAAAATGTTCTGTCTCCCTTATGAAGTTTCCAACTCTAGCCAAGCACACATATTTCCCATAATCAGGACAAAAGTAGTGTTGTAGCAAAGACAAAGAGTTTGCTGCATTCGCCCTCAAAATGCAGGAATTGGCGTTTCATTGTCTAAATGTAAAATATTTCTGGGGAAGGATACCCCCAGATCCCCCTACACACTAATATTCTATGTCCAGTTGCATATTATCACCCTTAACTATATATTTTTATATTGTTGGTCACTGTTTCACCCACACTTTTTAATGATCTTTGTGTTCATAAAGTCAGATGCAGCATCATGGAAATTCAGCCATTTTGAGTATATCTTAAACCAAATTGGATCCACATGCATTTAAATAACAATGACCCATAACTTGCAAACTTAACTTAGCAAGCATAACTTGCTGTGAATATAGCTTGACAAAGATCAGTTTAGGCAACTGAATGTGAAGTTTTCTAGAAGAAGTTTCAACTCTCATCCAAGAGGGATAAAAACAGAAGGAACATTGCCATTCAGGATTTTCAACCTGCACCTGATCCCTGTGCAATTCAAACTCACCAACACCCTGTAAAAAAAAAAACTGGTTCACCCATAAGACAAGACATCCTGAAAAAAGACCGACAATGTGGTATACGCGGTTCAGTGTAGTGAAGAGCGCACAGACCTTTAGATTGGAGAGACCAAGCAACCGCCACACAGGCGCAGGGCTCAACAAAGGAGGGCCAGCTCTTCAGGACGGGACTGAGTGGTTCACCTACACCTGAAGGCTAAAGGACACTCGTTTGAGGAAAACAACATCTATATTCTTAAGAAGGAAGAAAGATAGTTTGATTGTGGGGATTAAGGGAGCCATCTTTGTGAATCTGGAAAAAACATTTCTCAACAGAGGAGTTGGCCTTAGACATAACCTTTCACCCACCTACAAAGCATTTTTAGGAAGAATACCCAAAAGATTGACCCCTCGCCCACTCCCACCTGACTCAGGCCCCGTCCACACGAAGACGAACCCTGGCCTAAACGCACAAATTTTTCACCAAACCAGCCTCTCATCCACACGAAGCCGGTGTTTCGGGGGTCTGTAAACAATCTTTTTTTTATTCAGCCTTCAGAGTGGGAAGATTCTGAAACGCCGTTTTCGCGTTTCCATCTTTACGCTCTAACCGCATATTTTTTTTTACACGCATGCGTCATAGCGTCGCCTCTAAACACGCATGCGCGACACATCACAACAACAATGGCGCCGTTGCTGCTAATGCTACTCACCCTGCTGTCGGGCTTACAACAGAATCTTCTTCTTCTGGAATATCTCCAGGAAGAACAGAGCAATATCGACGACATAGTTCAGCACCTGAATTTGACTTAACCACGAAAATGGACCCGCAGGGCAACCATGTATAAATATTAGTGCCATGCCCAACATTTCGTCGCTTATTTTTGCTTTGGCACCACAGCGCCACTTACAGGCCTGGCATACATTTTGCAGCGTTTTCATGCATTCGTGTGGACGCTCACATTTATTTTACGTCTCCGTCTTTACGGCAAACGTTTTGGAAAATATCAGCGTTTCGTGTTCGTTTTGACTTCGTGTGGACGGGGCCTCGCACTTCAGTGAGGCATGTGAGAGAAACCTTTCTGACTAGGGAGCTAACGACCCATCAGAGCCCCGTAACGACCATTAACACCCTCCTGGTGACCTCCTTGCCAAATCCAGTAAGAGGGATCTGAGCCACCTTTTGTCGTATCCCCCTAATTCTTTGTTGCACATACAGTATATTAATCTCAGTGCTCCCCAGCACTGGTTAGAACTGAAGCAGCCTCTTGGATGAGAGGTGAAACGTCTACTAGAAAACTTCACATCCACTTGCCTTGGCTGCTTTTTTAAGCTTGACCTTGACCAGGATAACAAAATATTCACAGCTCTGAATATATTGTCCAAGTGTTTGTTTTGGAAATTGGTTTCTGATGACTTATCCTCCATCTGTGCTGTTGTTTTGCTGGGCTACAGCTCTGTATGTGGCCTACCATGATGGTAAGGTGCTAGTCTAACCCCCAACCCTTGTCCGTCTCTGCTTATGCTGCTTCTGCCAGTCCTCTGTGCTTCTGCAGCTGTGAAAACCCTGACCCCCACCACCTCTCTCTCTCTGGTAACAGCTTTACACAGCCAAGCTGTCTTCATTGGCTGGCTTCCCATTTAACACGAATCCAGACTTATTCTATCACAAAGAAGGACTTCAAAAGTTTCCCCTCAAATTGATAAATATTTAGAAATAGAGCATTCACCATTTTAATGAGTTACTGCTGGTCTTTGTGCTCAACAAGGACCCCTTTTTGTTTTGCGGGTACCGCTGAGTACCTCTGCTCGCTGTTCTCTGTGTGATGCTCCTACGTGCAGCATGGCTTCATTATTGGTCAGAGCAAGCAGCCTGCATGACGTCCCTCCTGATTCAGAGCACGACATGTTGTCTGACTGAGTGGGTGTCGGGAGAACGCCGACTAATGACGCAGTAGCTCTGCTACATGTGTGTATGTCCAGAGATCTTTAGTTTTTATAAATGTTTTTATGTGTGGCCATATGGTCTCCTGTCCTTTGTTTGTAAGGGAGTTGGTTTTATGTTCTTGCCCACTCTGATAAACAATATTTTAACCAAAAAGACACTGAGGAGATTTGATTTTAGGTGGTTGTCTTGGAGAAAAAAAATACATTACATTTTTTTATTCTGCCCTTTTTGGAGCCTCGTAGCTTAGTATTTTGAAATCTTTTTTAAGTGGTCCTAGTGTGACCCTTACATTGATAACCAGTAGTCTGGTTATTCCCATAATCGTGTTTTGTTCCTATCTAGGTGAATTTGGTAACTAAGCTGCAGAACCGTATATATCTTTATTATATTTAGGTGCTTCTTATTTTTTAAGAATGAGTTTTAAATGACCTTATCCATCATGAAAATAACTGGCTATTGTTCAAGAGTATCACTTCTTAGACTCATGCACTTTACATTTTCCCATTTTGTCGCATTGTAACCACAAACTTAAGAATCTATTTGATTTCAGTTCTCATGATTTAGAATAAATAATTTCCAAATTTGAACATCCAAATATTTAAATTTGATAGATTCTTGAGTTAAAACTAGCATTATTTAAAAATTCAATAGCAAGTTCATAAAGCACCTGGAGTTCATCACAACTGTAAAGACAGTGGAAATTAATTTTTTTTAAATCGCTTTTTATGTAAATGAACATGCCATCCTGCCCTTTGCTACTGTATCAAAGGAGCATTACCATGAGGTACTGCTGAGCCTTTAACTTACAATGACCACAAAAAATAAAAGTATGGATAAATAGATATCACGAGCGTCCATAGTGGAAATAACTACATCAACAGACATGACAGAAGAACTGAAGAAAAAGAGAAGCGAGGGCAGGGACAAAGAGTAGCTTAAGTTGAGGATGAGCAGATTAGTAGGGGTTTGTTTACAAACTGGTAGTTTCTTCTTCTACTACTAAAGCAATTCTGATAAATTAGCCAGTCCAGAACATGCTTAAATTATTTAAGCTGATTGAACGCTTGGTACATGGAAGAAAACTCAGAGCATAGATATTCTTGATAGAATGGCCATGTCCCAGGGACTTGAGGACCACGTAAATATCCGGCAGAAATGAAGCTATTTTGCAAATGATGGGCAAATATTCCATATTCAGTGCTTATAGAGACATACATTTGACCCCAGAGCCGATTCAACAAAGTATAAATTAGTCAGAATGGAAACGCATGCCACACTTTTCAGATAGTTATTTGTTTTATAAAAATATTTTCCTTTCACACTTCCACAGCGTGCCGTTCTCGCATAGAAATTCTAATTAAATTCATCAACACTCGTGGCTTAAAGTGGAAAAAAATCAAGGGGTTTGAATACTTTTGTAAGGGGCTGTTGATCTGTTTACATGTTTAGCCTTATTGATTATTTTCTCTAGCAATGCAACTTGTTTTAGACACACTTGTTTGTTTAATGATTAATTCTCTTTGATTTCTTTATAGCACCAATTCCTGTCAGAATCTCTGCAGTGGAGAGCCCAAACTGACCCTGAGCATGTTCTCTATGTGCTGCTCAACTCCAAGGTAGATTACAGCTTCACACACAGACTGAATTCTTCCGGTAACAAGAGCTGCAGTGTCTGAACGCATGGAATATTTAGTGTTAAGATGGCTTTTTGTTAAGGTGCACAGTAGTCAGGTTTGATCTTCACCATTTCCTGCTGCAGGGTGTACCGGTGTGCACAGCAACATGTGCACAGCTACACAAGAGAGCAGAGAAAATCACTGCCACTCTATATGAAAAAGGGGGCCTCAACACAGGCGACAACGTGGTGCTGCTTTATCCCCCAGGTTAGACTCAAACGATGCACATTATTTTGAAAGTTACCTTCTTTTTTTCACCTGTTTGAAGATGAAATGTTCAGGTTTTTGTGTTTAAAAGGGTTTTAGCTCACATATTGTTTCTTTGTTGCAGGCATTGACCTGATTGCTGCCTTCTATGGCTGCCTCTATGCAGGGATGATCCCTGTGACAGTAAGGCCGCCTCACCCCCAGAACCTGGCTGCTACTCTCCCCACAGTCCGCATGATCATTGATGTGAGTGCAGTCCATATGGCAGATATGTGGAAAAAAAACAAAAAGTCATTTGAAGTCAGCTCTGCTCTGTCTTTGAATGGAGACCGCATTCGGCACCACACAATCTCCTATTTATTCATCCTTTCTTGTTTTTGTCCTCCTCAGGTGAGCAAAGCTGCCTGCATCCTCACCACTCAGCCTCTCATGAGGATCCTCAGGTCCAGGGAGGCTGCAGCAAGCGTTAATGTCAAAACATGGCCAACTATCATCGACACAGGTGCAGAACATCTACACATTCAAGCTAGGACTGCTTTAAGGCTATAGGCAGTTGGCATGGAGCTGTTTTATTAATTTATGTTTACCCTGTGATGTTTTTTTTTTTTAATCAAGCAGCTCTGAATGCAGAGGCTTGATTTATTTCTTCTGCCACTGGATGTCCTTGTTTTCTTCTTTACATCCATAGAACATGTTATTTGTAATCTGAAGGAGATCAGTGTCTGAAGAACAAAGTTGATTTTAGTCTAGTTAGATTTTAACATACATTTTTTAAGCCACTGATTACAGAGGAAATAGAAAAATGTGAAAATAATGTAAAGAATAAAGGAGTTTATAAGATCTTATTGCCCCTCCTGCCAGATGATCTTCCCAGAAAGCGGCCTCCACAAATCTACAAACCCCCTACAGCTGAGATGCTGGCCTACCTGGACTTCAGTGTGTCCACCACCGGCATGCTGACTGGAGTCAAGGTGAAGTAAATACAAATCTCCTTACAATAACCTTTATTTGAAGGAAAAGTTTGGCTAATATCTCAGTTTTTGGGAATTTTTCACAAAGAGCACAATCCTATTTTTAAGCAAAATGTCAATGAGGACGAATTTAAGTTTAAGGGTTGGAAATAAGTAAAATAACCTAAGTCTTATAACTTGTAGGTTTGAATCCTGACTGTGGCACAAACCTTTTTTTTTATACACCTTTTCTCCCATTTAAATTAAACAATTTAATTAAGCAGCCCGAAATGCATTTAGGGTGGATCTAAATATAGATTCTATGTTCACGTTTTGAAAAGACATTGACCTGATGGAATAACCCTAATACCATACCATGCCAACATTATTTTCGAAGCACTTTATACGCCGACAGGACAGAAGTGCTGTACACAATCATAAAATACAATGCAATTATAAAATAGAAAAGAAATAATATAAAATGCATATTAAACAGACACAATAAAACAAATTGTGCCAAAAGCCAAAGACAATAGATGGGTCTTAAGAAGAGACTTAAAAACAGTTAGTAAAGAGGCCTGTCTTATGCTAATCTTAAACTCCTGTCGATATTTTGAACTGAATCTACCCAGCGTATTGGTCATTTCATTGAAGTGGATATTTATCAAATCCTTGTGGTTGCAGCACTTGGCCTCTGATGATAAAAAGCCTGGTCCTACCATATTAAACCAAACCACATCCCTATAAAGTCCGTTAGAATATGAGAGCTGAGTTGATGCTCTCTGGAGATTGGCTTTTAGCTCCTTGTTTCAATGAAATAACAAAACATGTTCTAATGTTTACTTTAATACTTTAAATGAACTGTTTTTATGATTATTTCTTTTTATAATGATCACCGAACTAAATCTCATGTGTGTGACTCCCTTAGATGTCTCATGCAGCTGTCAGCACTCTTTGCCGCTCCATTAAGCTGCAGTGTGAGCTTTACTCCTCCCGCCAAATAGCCATCTGCCTGGATCCGTACTGCGGCCTGGGCTTTGTCCTTTGGTGCCTCTCCAGGTACCTCAAAACACTAAAATATGTTGCTCCTCTATAAAATTGGCTGCAGTTAATGGTTCTATGTCTGCTGTGTCTAATGTTTTGTCTTTCTCAGTGTTTACTCAGGTCACCAGTCTATCCTTATTCCTCCAATGGAGCTGGAGACCTCGCTGCCTCTGTGGCTGACCACGCTCAGTCAGTACAAGATCAGAGACACTTTCTGCTCCTACTCTGTCATGGAGCTGTGCACCAAAGGCCTGGGAACGCAGACGGAGATGCTGAAGGTCAGGGTTGCTCTCCACTAGATGTGTTTACAATATATTTTCTAATAAGTATTAATGAAATGTCAGGGATATGAGTTGACAGGTTTAGACAGAGGGAGGAACATTCGTGCTCAATTCTTTAAAGCCTAAAACGAATCGCTAAAGTGTTTTTATGCTCAGTGCAAAAACAAATTTAAGTTTAAAGCCGTCATAACATTTTTTTAATATGCTAGACTGTTTTGAGTTTTTCATGGTCTTAAAAGTGTACAGACAAAGGACAGACACCTTATTAATGCTCCATAGAAATGTATTAGTGGCCAAAGAAATACATTGACAAAATAAGCCACATGTTCAATAAAATATTTTTTTTAAACTGAGTTACAACTCAGTTAATGAATTGTAAATGTGACACATAGAAAATATCTATTTAAAGTTGCACTGTGTAATCCTTGACCCAAATAAATGACTTTTCAGGTGAACGTAAAGCATATATTGCATATTGATGCTCTGGCTCCTTTTCAAAAACACGCCTTTTTAACTCATTTAGGTCTGTCGCTAAATGAGTCATGTCACCCAGAGCTAACTAAGCTAAAAGTTTTTAGACAGTGTAACTTATATGACACTTAACTAATGTAAGATTTAATCCAGAGGTATTAATTTTCTAGACACTGCATGACTTCTTGATCTGATGCTATTGGATTCCAAAACTCTGAGGTGGTTTAATTTTGCAACATTGCAGTGTTGCCTTCAAAGGCGCTTTTAAAGGTGATAAACCTAAAGGTTAAAGGTCAAGATTCCCTAGTTGGCAAATTTTATAATGTTGCTTGTATAACTTTTTTATTCATTGATAAAATGTATTTAAGCACAATTATTTTAAACTATTACCTGTTAAATTATGAATACAACAGAAGCTTATCAATTTATTTTCATTTTCGCAGGTGGGCAGTTTTGGTGCTTGATACAATGAATTTTTAAAATACTTTTTTAGGTCTGAGTACAGAGTTTTAATATGGGAAGTTTTTTTTTTTTTTATTTAGTTCTTTCCTGACTTTAAGTGTTTTCTGCTTGCCGTACATCAGCCTCAGTCTACAGCTGACTGATGATCAGCTGTGTGTGTTTTCAGGCGCGGGGTCTGAACCTGTCGTGTGTGCGGAGCTGTGTGGTCGTAGCTGAGGAGCGACCTCGTCTCGCCCTCTCTCAGTCCTTTTCCAAGCTCTTCAAAGATCTTGGCCTGTCGCCTCGGGCCGTCAGCACCGCTTTTGGCTCTAGGGTGAATCTGGCCATCGGGTTACAGGTATCTATCATAAAACTTCTTCCAAATAACCAAACTTGACCCTAGCGTTTGTTTTTATTCTGCTGAGCTGAAACTTTACATAAACATAAATAATATTCCTTTCTGTGTAACTAGGGGACTTCTGGACCAGATCCCTCCACTGTTTATGTGGATATGAAGTCCCTGCGTCACGACAGGTAAGACCAAAGAACCAAAGACTGCAGCCAGAGACATTAACAGTGGTCACACAATGTTGTGCTATGAGCAAACATTTATTAAATAAATGTATATATTTGTTGTTTGTAGGGTGAGACTTGTGGAAAAGGGAGCTCCACAGAGTCTTCCACTGATGGAATCTGGAACTGTAAGTGTTTACTGATCTATTCAACACTTGTTTTTCTACATGGTGAGAAAGAAAATAAAGATCTTTGATTGTATTTTGAGTTATATATATATACTTATATTTTGTTTTTACCTCAAGATTCTGCCAGGAGTCAGAGTCATCATAGTGAACCCAGAGACCAGGGGCCCACTGGGAGACTCCCATCTTGGAGAGGTAAGTTAGCAGAAAGTCTTAGAGGGAAGGCTTGGTTTTTTTCTTAAGGTGATTTTAGATTCATTGATGGAAAGTTAACCAAACTGGCTAATGCTATAAACCACCCAGGATTATTTATTCTCTCTTTCTATCAGCATTGATGCAAAATTCAACTCAAAAATGACTTCGTTTGTGTTTTTGTAGATTTGGGTGAACTCTCCTCACAGCGCCAGCGGCTACTACACCATTTATGGAGAGGAGAGCCTGCAGGCGGATCACTTCAACACCAAACTGAGCTTTGGGGATCCGCAGACTCTCTGGGCCAGGACGGGATACCTGGGCTTCATCAAGAGAACTGAGCTGCTGGATGCGAGTGGAGGTAAAAGCCAAACACATTCATTGATGTTCTGCTGTTTGTGTTCATGTGTACGACCTACAGCTAAGAGACGTTAAACAGAGCAAATTATTGCACAGGTTTTTATAGCATCCCAGCTTTGCTTCAGATGTTTGTTTTATTCCTTTGTAATCAGAAGCTAAATGGTTTCCTTAAACCACACTTGCTGTAAATGTGATTCATTTATTTAAGCATTGAAATTACAAAAAGAGGCTTGAAATGATTCACACATGTATATAGTAAACACCCCTCAGTTGATAAAATTGGTGAAGAAATTGAAATCTAAAAAAAAAGTTAAAAACAAACCAGAGGATTTTTTTTGTTTTCCACGTTTGAAAACGTTTTGCTTCCCATCCAGAAAGCTTCCTCAATTCAAATTGTCTGGAGTAGCGTGGAGCACCAGGCTTTATAGAGTAGCCCAAAAAAAAAAAAGTCCACCCCTTGTGATGTGGACTAGTTAGGGTCATTTTTGGCCCGGCTTACAGGCGCGATGTCCTCAAACGAAGACCAGAATATTCACATTTTATACAAAGAAGACAGGTGGTTTGAAAGGGATGTGGAGGAAGCCATTTATGTTAAGAGAGACAAAAAAAACAACCTTAAATAGAGGGGGAGGTTTCAGCTCTCGAAAACCTATAACGCAGTTATAGGTTTTCGAGGATTGTGAGTTCCTTCCCACTATCAACTCATCCTCATCGCCATGCAGGTGGTCAAAACATCGTTCCTGTAGCCAGGCCGACAACGACCTCAATGACTTCCCTTTACAGAGGCACGCTAGTATCGGTTGGATTTGTAGGCCAACAACGACCTTAACCTCTCCCCATTACAAAAAAAGTCCAGTGGTTTGTTTTTGACTTTTTTGGAATTAAATGACTTATCTGTCATAAAATGTTGAATTAGTTTTTTTTATGTGATTGAGCCATTTTAAATATTCAACTATAAGCTGCAGTTTAATGCCAAAAGTCAACTAAAAAGCCATTGCGGTGAATCAGTTTCCTATGTTGGTGTACCTGTAGTTACCATATGAAAGGAAACTATGTAATAACACTAACATAGTAACTTTTGTTTTGTTTGTTTTTGTTTTTTTCTGACAGATCGCCATGATGCCTTGTTTGTTGTGGGCTCTCTGGATGAGACCTTGGAGTTGAGGGGGTTGCGTTATCACCCCATCGACATTGAGACATCTGTTTCCAGAGCCCACCGCAGCATCGCAGAGAGGTGAGGTTTCTATGGTGCCTAACACTGCTCAGCTCTTTGTAACAGCAGCAAACTGAACTTTTTTTCTTGCATCCTTCGCAGTGCCGTGTTTACGTGGACCAACCTGCTGGTGGTGGTGGCGGAGCTCAGCGGCTCAGAGCAAGAGGCCTTAGATCTGGTGCCGCTGGTCACTAACGTGGTCCTGGAGGAGCACCACCTCATTGTGGGGGTGGTGGTCATTGTCGACCCCGGGGTCATCCCCATCAACTCTAGAGGGGAGAAGCAGAGAATGCATCTGCGGGACTCCTTCCTAGCAGACCAACTTGACCCCATCTATGTGGCCTACAACATGTGAACAACTTTCAGAGACTGATGCAGAAAACTGAGCCAAGGTTGGAGAAGACCTGAGGGGCGTAAACCACGGCCGCCACCACGTCGGCTCTCAGAGACGTTCAAAAGAGAAAAGCGACGTGGGAATGCAAGCACAGTGCCAGTGCTGTAACAATGAATGCTTCCCTTTTCAGAAACTATTCCTGCTTTTGTTCCACCTGCTCGACTGCTGCAGCCCAGGTTCACCGGGATTTCCAAGAACAAGGGTGAAATCTTCTATCCTCTTTCGAGGAAACGCATCGTTCACTTTGAGGAAATTTGAACTTCATTTGCTCTCTGAAGCCCGTTTCTCCCTCTGCATTCCTAATCATGTTTTTTAAGTATTTTTAGTATCTTGCTCCCATCAAAGACGGAAGACTCGATCATTAAATGTTTTTAATTTTCATTATTTTGTCTTGTTTTTTTCAACATCCAAACTTTTAAAGACAGGGGTGCACTGGAACTTTCTCCACCTTTTGCACGTCTGGCTTTGTGTCCTGCCTCCAAAGGAGAACCAACTGCTCACACCAGCTGCTGCTGCTTCCACTGGAAAAAAATCCACATCAGTATTGAAAAAGAAGTGCCACCAGGGAGTCCCATCCCGACTCTCTGACTTCCCACCAGGAGCACAGTGGCTCTGGCCTCCTCACCTGCTGTCAACCTGCAGACACAGCTTTGGCCTTCACTTGTCAAAAAAGTCCTAAAAATACACTTAGATTCCACCTCTATGTTAAAAAAAAAAAAAGAAAAAAAAGAACGAATTGGTGAATATAAAACGGATTGCTTCGTTTTCTTGTTTTTTTTTTTTTTGTGTGCTAGGACATGCTAAGGTAGATAAGATCATTTTGATAACCTTATTTTAAGAAATATTAGCAGGACTTGCAGATATTTCTGGAGTTTAGGTGTGCATGCGACCTGGAGGTGCAGCAGATATCTGCATACAGATTGCTAGAAATGATTTAATAACAGATAAACCAACATGTCCTAATCGGTTCATCAGGAGGACAGTTTAAGATATAGCACGTTTTTGCCTCTCATCAGCAACTATAAAGAAACACAAAATCCTAAGAATATCAACTAAAAAATCAAGCCTTTATAACCGACTGAAGGACACTGGGAAAAAAATATGCAGATTTTAAAGATGATCATCTTCTCAACCATGTAACCATGCATAGTCAACTTTACTAGAGCAGAAGGGTCATCAGAGGCTCTGCTGATATTACTAATTCCCAGCTAGGCATGGGTCATTATTAAACTCCTATGGTATAAAAACATTAAAGGAAAATGCAGCAGATTCTGTATACTTAGACATGTAGATCTTTTTAAATACTGATTTACAATAATTTTTTGTGATCCTAAACTGATTTGAATTTGCTCCAAAAAAAACTGTCTGTGCAAAAAGCAAAGGATCAATTACAGCTTTTTTTTTGCAGTCTTTTTATAGTAACACTGAATAAAACCAGTAGATACTGGCTTGTTAGTTACTTCTGATGCAGTAGCTAGTCTGCACACAGCTGACTGACGATTAACCATCAATGTTTTAGGCTTTCCATACAGCAAATTTGTTGTATGGAAGACAAAGGTGCATTGCTGCTCTGTGCTCCTTACAGGCATAGAAAAAGTAATTCACATTTTCCCTACAGTTCCTTTAAGACCTTAATAGATAAATCATATTTTTTGCAAAACCATTGCATACTTTGGTACATTTGATGTGTGTTACAAACAAAAGCAATTGATGGGTTGTGGAAAAAGAGACAAAGAAATACAAGTTCCAACAGAAAAATGAATAGAAATGTCGCCTGCAGTCAGGATTCAGGGTGGAAAGATATTAGGTTCCTCAATTGTTTAAATCTAAAAAATCCAATATGGCTGCCTTGCTGATATGCAGCAGTAAAAGTTGATTTATTTGCACTTCCTCCTAGTGGCTTGCAGGCCTGCTTTCAATAGATGATCCTTCAGTTCACCCTGTTGCTCGTTCTTCTTAGGATCTGAAGTTTGTTTCAGCAGTGGTTACTTATGAGAGGCACAAACTAATTTTATTTTTAGGGGGAAAAAAACATAATATTCATGACACAAAACATCTTTTGTTGATGTAATCTATTAAAATATATATTTCTCTTTAGTTTTAATGAACTAGTTTCCCGGGATAGTTTTTTTTTTTTTTTTGCTGGGTTAAGCCTGAGGTGCTCATTTGAGCCAAAACCTTTCAGCAGAGTGTAGAGGTAAATCAGTAATCCTAGCTGTTTTTATTTGCAGATGATTAAAAACATGTAGATGATCTGAAGGCAGAGTAGTGCCTTTTAATTCTCAGACATTTCTGATGGATAAAATATCACATTTTAAGAGTAAAGGTGCAAGAAGTGTGGAGATATTTTTGCCTTAGTAAAACCTGTGGAGCTACTCTCCCTATTTTATAAGGAATTGCTTGCGATGGGAAACCAGAAGCAGGCATCTGCTTTTTTTTTATTGTTTTTAGAAAGAGGGTGTGTTGTTCTCGTTAACCTTATAGTCCTTGCTTCTTTTAAAAAAAAATTCAAATCAATATCTAACCCAATTATTTTGGAATGTCTGTAACACTGATGGGGGAAAAAAATTAGAAATCCCTGAAAGCTGCATTTAAAAATGCATTTAAAATGGGCAAATACTTCTTTAAAGGAAAAAGTACCGCAGTAAAGGAAAAAAAATAGATAAGGGTTAAAATTGTCTGTTTACTGTATTTTAGAAGTGAGATACTGTATTACTAGTGTTACTGTGTACATGCAGATGGAGTCTGTAGATAAAAACTTGACTGATCTTTCATACTTGACAGCATTTCTTTTCTGCATTGCTTGTTGAACTACGTCTCATTGAAAAAGACAGGGAACATGGACAGGAGCAATGTGCACTTTCCCAATATCATTAGGTGTATGTGGGCGTGTCCCCGAGAGTGTGAGTGTGTGTGTGTCTTAATGATACTTGGCTAATATGGTGCAACAAGGTTAATCTTTTATAAAAATCCCAAAATATTGAACTTCTTTTTTTTCTTTTTATTATTTCTTTTATTTTTATGTCGCCTCCACTGTATTTTTACACTTCCCATCCATATTTTGAATTTAATATATTTTGTTAAGGGGTTTCACTGAGGTTTTCCCCTCTGATGCGATTTTCCATCTGGAGCTGCACAACCTCTGCAAACTGAATCCTTAGCAGCGGCACAGACCACTTTTCAGAGAGGACATGCACGCAAGCCAGTCGTTTGGTTACTCATGAATAACTGTGTGATAATTGCTTTGTTGCTACTGTTTCACTACAACGACTTTTAATAAAGTTTTATAATTTCACTTTGGCCTTCAAGCCTTTTCAATAGACCTTGGTGCTATTCAATAAGGTGCCGTGAACAGATTTCAGTCCTTCAGTGTCACTGCAAAAAGGCTCATTTCTGGATGTGGAGGTTAACATTTCCTTAAAGGTCCTAAAGACGTTAACTATTTCAAAGCTCTGTAGAGCTGATGCAAAATCTCAACAGAAACAATGCAACCTGTAACATCTGCCTTTTTTTTTCACCTTAATATTCACTTCCAAGACATTTCAACCCTACAGTTGTTCTAAGCACAAAATGTAGAGATTGCAAAGAAAAAGAATCATTTCACTCAAATCTATATAAAAGAAAAAAGACCAGTCTGTATACCTCAACAACAGTCTGTCCACGATGCATCGTTAAGCTGCAGCAAAACCACATTCTGGACTTGTCAGTGGTGCGATAACCTCTAACATGTCTTTTGGAAAAAAACAACAATGTCACACTGTCATTCGATGTGTTTCATGTCAAATAAAAATGCTTTGTCAAACTTTCTTCTGCTTTTTTACCCTTTTTTTCTATCCTGATGCTTTTCTTGAGCTTTTGTCTCTTGCCAGAGACATACCACGTTTCCACCACCAGGGGTCACTGTTTTTGCTCCCTTAAAAATAAAAAAGTTTTTTTTTCTTCAATACTTTATTTAAAGTCAGTTTACATTACAGAATATTGATATTAAAAGATAGCTATGTATCCCAATAATACATTTAAAGTAGTTAAAAGATAAAACTGAATAATAAAGAAAAAATACAGTGACAAAGGCTAGAGGGCTCAACTTCACTTAAAGCAGTCTATTTAAATAATGACAGCAGTTAAAATTAGTTTGAAGGTTTTTTTTGTTTGTTTTTTTTTTTTTTTTTTGCATTTGGGGGTGTGAGTAATTGCCATAAAATCATAAACAGGTTAATAAAAAAAGAGGAAAAAAAGGGTTAAAAATCAAAAACTGTACCAATGGCATCAAACTATGTTTCCCAGCTATAGAATAAGCAAAATCAAACAAGGAGCCAGGAGGTAATAAAATGCTGATTAAAGCAGTTTGTCTTGAATGATAGAAAAGCCGGTCTGAGGTAGAACCTGTGATCCGTTTCTTTACCTAGGCTGGATATCGCTCAGGAATAATATATGATACTTCAATGGAAAACCTTACTGTAAATCTCTCAAAAGGGGCATGTTTATTAATGATTTGTGTGAAACTTTCCCTAAGGAAGCCCAATGCTGCGTCCACATGGTAAAGTCACTGGCTGTGAATACTATTGCAATATTAAAATGCATAATAGAAAGTAAGACAACAATCTATTCTAGCCAACAGGAGCTCTTTATTTGTGACAAATTATAATTTACCATTATTGCTACTTTTAAATATGTATAATAATTAAAATTAATCAACAAATATTTATTCTTTTCCATTCCCATAAATAAAAGAATAACACCAATGCAGCTTTTGTTTGCTTTGTGTTTTAATGATTCTGCTTTCTGCAGACAGAGAGGATGTTTTAGAGCAGCATCAGGACAGCAAAGAGCAGAGCTGTGATCAGTCCCCCGCTCAGCCTGTGTGCACAAGCTCTAGTTTGCTCCTGATTTGCATTGAGCCAGTCTGCAAACCTGCTGGTTTTTGAATACACTCCTGGTCTGTAGGGCAGTCCACACTTCTCCCCGAAGCTTGTCACCCCTACTACATAGAAGCTTTTTTCCTTCTCGCTGTAGCACTGCAGTGGACCTCCGCTGTCACCCTACACCACAATTGAGACAGCTGTTTTACTCTGCAGCAGAAGGGCTTTGGAAATGAGCATGATAATAACCTAACCTGACAAGTGTCCACGCCCCCTGTCTCCAGTCCTGCACAGATCATATTTTCTGTGATGATGCCGTTGTACCAGGTTTCTTGGTTACACCTGGTTCTGTTGATGAGCTCTACCTCAGCCTCCAGCATCCTGTCCACTGGCTCACCTAGCACAAACAACAGCAGCAATAATCATCATCATTGACCTTGTATGTTTAAAGTCCTAGATTAATATATGCTGCTTTTAATCTTGAATAAAACAAATTGATAGTAGGCATTAAATGTTTTTTTTTGGTTATTAATAAAATATGAAAGAACCAGATGCTTCATATATAAGGTAGTGGCTGTTTGAGTTCAAAGACAACATGAAGTCTCAGCACTAACCGTTGAAGTAGGTGCTTCCCCATCCAGTGATGAAGCAGTAGCTCAGGTTGAGGGCAGCCTCTTGGCTCATGTTATGAGGAGTGCAGCAAGGCTGGACGTGATCTGTGAAGTTGAGGGGGGAGCTAAGCAGCAGCAGAGCCACATCGTTGTCGGATGTGAACTCATCGTAGTCTTCATGCATTATGATTTTACTGATGGAACGCGTCTGGGTGTGAGGCCCAGGTGTAGAAAACACATTAAGTCCCATAACCACTTGGAAATAATCAT